GCATTTGCAAAAATGCCACTAACTATGAATTTTTAGAGTCTATATATTGAAATTTTAAATCCTAAAAATTGTTTGACCCCTGAAAACCATTAAACCGTCAAAACTAAACTCTAATACAACATAGTTAACTCAAACATAAATGATATAATAAGTAAATAATTTTGAAAAATTGGTATTTTTTGTAAAGATTTTAAAAATGTGGCATTTTTTAAAAGTGGCACTTGAAAAGTGACATTTCTCAAAAATTTCTACAATATAGTTAACCCAAAAATAAATGATATAATGAGTAAATAATTTTTAAAAAGTGGTATTTTTGTAAAATTTTGAAAATGTGAAAAATGATTTTTCAAGTTCTTAAACAATTTTTTTTTAATTAGTTTGCTATTTTATGACCATTTGAATTTTTGTTTTGTGTGTGTGTTTTATTGGTTGATTTATTTTTATTTAGATATTAAATGGTATTTTAATCTAAAAATACTAAATAATTAAAATTTATGTAACTGACTAATTAATTCTTAAATTTCTCGTTTTTAACTAAATAGTATAAATAGAACACAAGCCGGACTAAACAATGATATAATCAGTTAATGGATTTCACTTGCTGCATTATGTCTTGTAGGAAGAACGTGATATTAGAATGAGAAGAGCCTCCTTCCTCCACAACTTTATGAGCTAATTCTCCAAGCACTTTGGCTCTTCTTCTTCTTTCTTTTGCATCATCACTATCACCCATCAATTCTTCCACTGCCTTCTTCACTCCTTCTTTGTCCACCAACACTCCTATTTTCTCCTCTTCTCCCCATTTCATAACCTCTTCAACCCCAGCTCTTACACCGACTTTAAGAATCTGCACGACCAGCTTCTGGTTGCAGAACTGGTCTCCAAACAACGGCCATGTGAGCAATGGAACTCCCGAAGCGATTCCTTCTAGAGTCGAGTTCCATCCACAGTGTGTCAAGAATCCTCCAGCAGAAGGGTGTGAAAGAATAAGCACTTGAGGTGACCATCCTTTTATGAGAAGCCCTCTCTCTTTGACCCTTTCTTCAAAACCGCTCTCCGACATCCATTCAATTAACTCATTATACTTTTCCCAACCTCTTATGACCCAAATGAATGGTCTCTGAGATTCCTCGAGGCCTAGCCCGAGCTCCTTGAGCTGAGCTAGAGGAAGATTGCAGATACTTCCAAGGCAAACATTTAGCACTGAACCTTCTTCTTTAGCGTCAAGCCATTTAAAGCAATCTTCTTGATTAATGGCACCCTTGTTTCCCCTCTCTGCTTTGTCTTCTCCTAACTTGTTGCACAAGGAAACGGGTCCAATGGACCATACTTTACCAGCCTTAGCTTCCTTGTAGTCTTTGACATAAGCTGGCTCCAACTCCTGAAATGTGTTGACGACCACACCATATGCTGTGTCTTCTGCTTCTTTCATTTTGTCCAAGAACTCTTTCCAATCTCCACTTGCATTTGTTTTCACGGGAACTTGAGGCTTTGTAAATTCAACTCTATCAGGAACACTAGGAACCAAGAAATACTCTTTGTCGGACTTTAAATTCTGCAAGATCTCGATGTTTCGGCGTAGAACATGCATACACAGAAGACAAAAGCAACCCATGCCATGGAAAACAATCTTTGGTATATTGAACTTCTTGGCGATTTTGCTTGTATAAGGCAAACACAAATCAGAAATTATACAGCTTGGTCTAGGTTTTATCTCTTCCATGAGCTTCAAGACCGGCTCTTCGAGCATGTTTACCGCTTTAAAGAAAGGTACCATCAGCTCCATCGAGTCAAGCGAATCGATATTCTCTTGGCCTTCTGGCAAACCAACTTCTTGATATGGAAGCTTCACATGAACTAGGTTGATGGGCAAGCCAGAGTCGATGGCACGGCTGAAGACATTCTTGAACCTCCTTGCATTTTGAGGCGTCGTGACAATTGTTATGGTCACGCCGCGCTGAGCTAAGAGCCTTGCAATATCAACCATGGGAATCATGTGGCCTTGAGCCATGAAAGGGAAGAGAACAAAGTGAAGAGGATAATGAGATTGGTGAGAATTTTCGGAAGCCATACTGTTTCCAACTCAATGAGGAACTCTTAAGTTTTGTTTTGTTTGAATAGTTTGTGTGTAATCGTGAGGTTATAAGATATATGGATAAGAAGAGTAGGCATAAAAAATCGCTTCTCCAAAATGATGCAATAGATGACGTTAACACTTAAAAGGTGTTGACAACATAATATAGGTAGAGATTATTACAAGAGGATATTTCGTGACCAATACTTTCTTTATTGACCGGGAAAGGTTATAAAGACATTGACCGGAAAAGGTTACAAAGACATTTATTCAGAATTAAAAAAATATAAGACACAAAATCAAACTTGGACTCTCTTAGACATTACCAAAATCAAATTGTGTTTGAAAGTTTGAAGTTCAATTCCATATCTTATACATAACACTAAAAAGATGAAAATCCAAAGCCGCCAAATCAAGCTTGAAACCATCAAATATTAAAACCAACAAAGGAGCACAATCTAGACTTTTCAGCGTGTCAAAGAGGGTTTTGTAAATTGGTCACCGAACTCTTAAAATTTTAATTTCTCTATTTTTTTTTAAATTGAAAAATTAAATCTAATTTTTGTACATAATGAAATACAAATATATGATAAAGTGAATATTAAAAAATGTGTCATTATTTTTAAAATTACTTTCCAAATCTGTCATAATTATGATAACTTTCCAAAATTGCCACAAATTTGTTATTTATGTCAGCAAAAAGAAACATTTGCCTCATATTTTATTTTCAACACATCTTCTTTCCCACACATTTTTCTAGGGGTGGACAAACCGGAAATTTTCAGGAACAGGACGGGTATTTGGGAATCAAAATACTTGTCCCATTCATGTCTCATATACAATTTGGGACGGAAAAGGAACGGTGTGAAACGGGACAGATACAGAACGGGAATTCCCCAAAAAAATATGACAAACAAAAATTATAAAATGTCCATCACATTTACTGTCACATGAGAGATCAAATATTAAAGAAAGCGATGGTGTAGAATCCATAGACTAGATCATGCGGCGGTTAATATAGGTGTTGGGGTTTGAAATGGCTTATAATCGTGTTTACATCTTTATATAAGACAAATTAAAATTTTACATATAATATAATATTAATTGATATTTTTGTTAGCATACTAAAAAACTACTAATATATATGAAAAAATTAGAAAATTCATATATAATATTATATTTTGATGTAAATAAATATATACTTCGGAGCAAATGAAACTACGAGAATTTTCATCCCCATCCCGTCCCATTCTCAAACAAGAATCGATAGTTTGTACTTTAATATGATCTTATTCGGAACCGAGAATGGGACGGAACGAGACAGTTTGGGATGGGACAAGAATTATTCTCTCCCCTACATTTTTCTCTCTCTTTCTCAAAATAATGGATCCC